AAGGGAGAGAAAGTGGGACATCTTTTTAATAAAAATAAAGTTTTAAAAAAGGAACATCAGGAAAATTAAATGTTCTCTGTTTTCCAGCAGAAATTTATTTTGCAGTATTAATTTGATTATAATTTTGCTTTCAAGTGGATCACATTTACTTTTTAAGATTCTACTTCTAGATGATCTAGTGGCATTTAATTTTTATTCTTAAGCAGCATCCATTCTGCCTTTTCCAAGAATCAACTCCCAATATTCACTGGATAAGTACCTTTTTCTTCTCTTAGTCTACTGTTTTTTATGGAATTGACACCATCCCCATGTAGAGGGATGTGCACATAACCCAAACATATTCAATAAGATTGTGGCATATCCCTTCTCACTGAGACAGGTTCAAGAATAAGCACGTGTCTTGGCAGGGTGGCTCAGTTGGTTGTATTGTCCCATACACCAAACATTGGTGGTTCAGTTCCCAGTCAGGGCACATACCTAGGTTGTGGGTTTGATCCCCAGTCAGGGCTCTTAAGAGGGGCAACCGATCAATGGTTCTCTCTCACATCAATGTTTATCTATCTACCTATATCTATCATCTATCTATCTATCTATCTATCATCTATCTATCTATCATCTATCTATCTATCATCTATCATCTATCATCTATCTATCATCTATCATCTATCTATCTATCTATCTATCATCTATCTATCATCTATCTATCTATATCTATCATATATCTATCATCATTTATCTCTCTTTCCCTCCCTCTCTCTAAAATCAATAAAGATATCCCTAGGTTTTGGTAAACAAACAAAAAAGAGAAATGAGCATGGGACCCAGGTAGAGTCAATAAGAATCAATTTTGTGTCAGAATTTGTTGAAATACTAAGAAAATAAAATTTATTCATGATAATGGGGTTTCTGTGAAGAACCTGGAGCTTCATCCCTGGCCAGTTTTGCTCAGTAGTTAGAGCATCTGCCTGCCACCAAAGGGTTATAGGTTTGATTCCAGGTCAAAGGCACATACCTTGGTTGCAGGCTGGATCCTAGGCTCTGGTTGGGGCGGGGCATGTGCAGGAGGCAACCAACGGATGTGTCTGTCTCTCTCACATCGCTGTCTGTCTTTCCCCCCTTCCCTCCCCTCCACTCTCTTTGAAAATCAATGGGAAAATATTCTTGGGTGAAGATTCAAAAAAAAAAAAAAAAACCAATCTGGAGCTTCTGGCAGACATCTTGTCCTCAAAAGAATGGAAAGTTTCCCCTTAAAGGGAAAGAAAAGCTAAAGAATCAAGACAAAACCTTCATGTCATTAACTGAGCACTTGAAGCAAACTCTACTACTGGACATTTTACTCATGAAGGCCCTTTGTAGGTGGGAGTAACTGATAAAGTTGTTGGTAAAGGCAAGAGAAAAATCTAAGTAGCAAACTGCCTAGTGCAGGGTTTGGCTTTTTTCCCCCCTCTTTTCTATAAAGTGTCAAATAGTAAATACTTTAGTTTTTGTGAGTAGTAATATGATCTGTGTAGCAACTACTCAACTCTGTTGCTGTAATGTGAAAATAGCCACGGACAACACATAAATGATGTAGCTGTGGTCCAATAAAATTTTATTTATGAATGTTGAAAAAAGAAAGTTACACTTCCTTTCAGTTATTTTCAAGTTGAAATGCCCTCAGATGGTTAAACCTGTGGCTTCCTGCCTCAAGTCCCCATGCATCAGATGGAAAGAGTTAGCCCCTCTCCCCTTAGCACATCAGGTAGAAAGTTACCTAGCCTACTTTAGTAGATAAAATTCTCTATACTATAAAATAGTAGATTTTGTTGCTTATTGATAGTATTACAATTTTTTTCCTGGAGGGTAAACCAGTAATGTTTTAATTGAATTTCTTGGGGTGATGTTGATTAACAATGTTACAACTTACTTTTTAATATTTTTATTGATTTTTAGAGAGAGAGGAAGGAAGAGGGAGAAACATTGATGTGAGAAACATCAATTAGCTGCCTCCCGCACATGCCCAAAACCAGGGCTCCCTCTAACCCACAACTGCAGCAGGTGCCCTGACTGGCAACCCTTCAGTGCACAGGACAATACCCAACCAACTGAGCCACAATGGCCAGGTTTACAAATTATTTTTAAAGTTCTTAAATAATCAAGCTTTTGAGTACAGTAGGATTTTTTTTTTCATTTTAATAAGATAAACTCTTCAGTAATGATAATGGTTTGATCAATGCCTCTTATAGAACTAATTTCTTCTTCCTCCCTACATCCTAAATGCTTTGTTTATACTGCTACACTGCGTGGCTACGTCTGTTTCTCCAGTCTCACCATCTAATTGGGATGTAGTGTAACAGAAAGAGCAGTGAAGTTAATATCAAATACTTGGATTATAGTATTTGTTTTATTACTTAGCAGGTGTGTGACTTTACTGTTATAATAATCCCTGAATTATGACATGGAAGTATGAAATAGTTTGAGACATGGATTGGAAACTCAAAATATGTGATCTCTATGTCATTTAGTGGCTGTGAAGATAGAATATTGGAAATAAAAAATTTTGAACAAAAGGTCACCACAGACCTTAATAAATTAGTTAAACTTCCAGAGGCTCTGTTGTGCCATCTATAAAATAGATACAATGATGCTTATCTCTTAGGATTGTTTAAAGATTAACTGAGATATTGTATGTGAAAGTCTAGTTCAGTCTGTGGAAAATGGATGATGTTAATTAATGTTTCCTTAGGTTAGAATGCTCCCTCCACCACCACCCCCATTCCCCTCCACCACACCCC